GGCGCCCCCGGGGGGCGGTTGGGGCGGGGGGGGGGGGGGGGGTCGGGTCCCTTTAAGCACAGCCCTCGGCAGCAGTTCCACACTGTAAGTCCTAATCTGATGCCCTGCCGGCACTGCTTCCGGCCATCCTTAACCTCGGTTCAGGGTCTACTCTGTGTGGACATGCTAGTTCGAATTAGCAAAACGCTAATTCGAACTAATTTTTAAGTCTAGATGCACTAGTTCGAATTAGTGCTGTAGTGTAGACATACCCAAGGTTAACTTGCAAACAGGGGACTGCTCCAGTCCCGCAGGGGGCCTGCTGCAGCATCCTGACTGATGAGCTCCTGCCTGCAGTAGGGGGTGGGGGGAGGGAGGGGAGAAGGGAGGGGAGGAGGTGGTGTTCCAGCTCAACCACAGGCGGGAGGTGGGGCTGCTCAGGGCAGGTGCCCCCCCCCCTTTAATCTGCTAACCAGTTAAACAATGTGTTTAATCAGTTAGCGAATTAAACAGGATTTTACATCCCTACAAGGAAGACTAGTCTTTGTTCTCCATGAAGCTGCATTTTCTCCTGGATATTCTTATGTATCCATAAAACATGAGTAAAGCATCCAAATCATGACATTTGCATAAAAATCACAAGTCTCTAAAATTAACAACATTTAGGGTTTTTTTATATGGCTTCCTGTATTCTAACTTATAGCCATGAAGGCAGAAAAAGAAAGCTCATTTTCATATTTATATCACATGACTCGAAGAGCTGGGACTTTGAAGAAAAAAACACCAATACAAGATTCATGCTGAAATTGACAATTGCCTTATGTCTCGATGCACATAAGAGCCAACAGGTTTTCTAGGTGAATTTATTGACTATTATAGCACCACAGCTAGCTAAGGAGGGTTCCATACAGACAATAGTTAAGGTCTCTGTCATGGTAAGAGCCTAATTTGAAAAATGGGATTCGAGGGCTTTCAAGCCCTAAATAGCCAACATACTGGAGGCAATAGTGAGTCACCAGCAGGACTGGTTAAAAGTTTTTTAAATTTGCAATTTTCAGTTAAAAAAAAAGAGTCAAGATTTATATGGGAGAAAATATAATATGCCCAACGTAGTTGTTGCTTATTTAAACTTGTCAAAAATGTGATCACATTTTTGTGACTTTCAAAAGAAAAAAAAAACATATACCTCAACTTGAGCATCATCCCAGGAATCTAAACGAACTGATTTCACTTTGCTGACTTGTGGGATATTCCGATGGATCCCTGAACAATTTAAACAGATAAACACTCCTAGGGTATGGGATGCCCATTCTGGATCTGAAAGACAAAAGAAAACAGTATTGCTTTAATACAGCTTATTGGAATAAAGAATTTAGTGAAGAGGAGAGTAGTGGACTAAAAGAGAAAGTGGAATTTGGAAATTCCCCAGAGCCCCGGATGGCTTTCTAAAAGGCAAGGTCTGATTTTGAAGGCATTTGATGTGCAAACATACATGCAAAAGACAGACAAATGTGTCTAATTTACATTCACAATTACTATTCAAAGGGCTCGTTTATGTGCAGTCACTGGATTTGCATGCTTAGTCGCATGCAATGCAAAGTTCATGTGTCTTAATCAACAACATTTGGTCATGAAGCAAAGAGGAGAAATTCTAACTTTTATTGATAAAACCTGTCACACTATGGTGCTCAGGCACTGCAGAAAACAATTATAATTATAGACGGTAATAATAAAATATAATATTTAATAAATAATAATAAATCAACCCACACTATTATGCCAAGCCAGATAAAAAGACATCATCAAGGGGCTGAACTCACTAGGTGACCTCTTGATGTGTCTTGGAGTCCTACCTCTCTGTGATTAAAATAAAGGAATTCTACACAAGGCCCCAAAGTAACCACAGTTGAAAAGGCATCTGTAAGCTGAATGCTTGAGCGGCCACCCAGGAGAGATTCAAATGCCACCCAGCTAATTAGCAGAGTGCATACAGCCGGCAGCATGTGATTCTACTGGTGACACACATCTGCACAGGCCTTGGAGCACATAACTAGGCTCAGCAACAGGGAGGAGGAGGCGGCAAAGGGGCAATTGCCCTGGAGTCTGGGATTCAAAGGGACCTGAGGCAGGAGCACAGCTGGAGCCAGGCTCTTTAAATCTGTGTGTGAGCGCCACTTCCACACAGCTCTGGAGTGGGGAGGTGAGCTTGCACGGTGCTCTGGTCACTTCTGAGCACTATCTGCCCCTCCCCTGCCCCTTCTGCCTGAGGCTCCGCTCCTTCTGCCAGGGGCCCGCAGGAAGCTGTTGGCTCCGCTACACTTAACAAAATGTATTCCACACATGCATGGAAAGAATTAGTGGGAACACTGGCTTCTAGGCTTTGCTTGAGCTACAGCTCTGAATTTCTGCTGAGCAAAGCCCCACTGTTTACAGTGCTGGTCTCTGAGCTGCCAAATAGCAAGGGCACTTTTCACTCTTACTGAATCTCAGGTGTGTTCCTTAGCACCACCAATGAAAGCCATCACTTTCCTCTGATAAGCACAGGGTTAAAGGAATGTAAGGAGATGAACAGAGAAAAATAGCTGGTGTTCCAGCAGGACACACGTGCCAGTGTATCTTGTGCTGCGTCACTGCTAATGCCAAAGCAATGATCTCTGTTTGAACACCCAGTCATAAATGTCAGCTCTTGCTATTCCAACTCAGGTGCAAATTGCCTCCTCAGAGCAGCAGAGCTTTTCCCCAGTCCCCCAAGTCGGCAGGAGCAGAGCAGCACTCTGCACCTCATAGGATCAGGCTGTTAATGAATATGGGGAACTATCATTTTCTTGCAAACTGTCCTAACTTGTTTATTCTCTTGCAGTAATTATGCTCAACATTTACTCTATACAGAACAGTAATTATTTATAAAAGGCACGGGAATGTTCTTTTTCTCCTTATGCATATTTAATGGCTCCCTTGTATTGCAATTAGAGCAGCTGAACAACAGGGGATGGGTTAGGAGGGGCTGGTCAAAGAAACACAGCTGTAGATAGTCTCTGTGGTTCTCCCTTGCTAGCATGGAGCTGCTCCTTGGGATCCACTGCTAGAGACAGTCTTAAGGAAAGGGCTGTGAGTTGCTTCCTTGGGCACCCCACAAAAGAGGAATATGGGTTATCAACATCAACCTGCAGTTTTGTTGTTCTGATTTAAAATTAAGCAAGCAAAATACATTGTATGGTCAAGCTCATTTCATGCCCTTTATGCTCCATTTTATTCTACACCTTCTGTCATATCGGCACAGAAGGGAAAACCCCATTCCCAGGGAGATCCTAATCCCAGAGAACTAGTAACAATTCTAGTCCCATGGGGTTGGAATCTGGCTGCCAGCCCCTATGGCCTCCTTTCATTCTGTGGAGTCCACCAACATAGAAAGATCTTGGATACAGCAACTGAGGCTCAAGGTTAAGATATATCCATGATCCTGCTGAGCACATCTTGTCCAGTCCCAAGCCCTATCAAAATCAGTGGGAGCTCAGAGTGCTCAGCAGTGAAAAGCATCAAGTCCTAAGAGAGGAACGCAATTTTCATAAGCTAACATAAATCCCCCGCTTTTCCCTATTCCCAAGTTCAAAATTAGCATGCCCCTTCCGAAGAAGGGGCCAGTGTAGACGTAGCCCCAGAGTATAACCCTAATTCTAGTGTGATGTTCTAGATGAATTAGAACTAGATAAATTTATGGAGGATAGGTCCATCAATGCCCCAGGATGAGCAGAAATGGTGTCCCTATCGTCTGTCAGAGGCTGGGAATGGATGACAGGGGAGGGATCACTTGACAATTCCCTGTTCTGTTCATTCCCTCTGGGGCACTTGGCATTGGCCACTGTTGGAAGACTGGATACTCGGCAAAATGGACCTGTGCTCTGATCTAGTATGGCTGTTATTATATCCATAACCTGCTGGTTTGTGGTGCTTACTACTCACATCTCAAACAGCAAGAGACTCTCACTGTGTGCTTCTCTTTAAAGTTAGGCACGTGTGTGGTTGTAATCACCTGCAGGCAGAGTAGAACCTGGGACCGCTGCAGCTTAGTATAGGCACCTCTACAGCTTGAACTATGAAACCAGCCGGTTCTCAGCTTAGGCTGTAAAGCTCACTCGTTCTTATCTCTCTGCTGTAAGTGGTCTAAGTGCTACTACACGAGACAGTGAATCACACCCCATAGGCGTGTGGGTTACATGCACATTTATGTTAGTTATGAAAACTTATTCTCATTCCGGTGCCATGTAGGTAAGGTCAGCGATTCTTGTTAACTCTGGTTTGGAGAGGAATTAATATATTGTACAGAGACTGTGACCACATTTGTAACCACTGAGAGGAGTCATCAATCAGACCCATGAGCTCATCAAAATTATGTGTAGCACATCCATGGGGCATAGCTACAATGGTGTATGTGGTGCTGTTGCCATAGGCAACTGGTGTCTGTGAGTGGGGAGGGGCGTGGCCTCCTGCCAGGGAAGTGCTTCCGCGCCAGCCCCAGATGCTGCTCTCCCCCCGCGTGAGTAAGATGTCAGCCACGGCTCCTCAGACATTGAGGCTACATCTACACTACACTGCTTGTTTTTGTGCAAAGACCCTAGTGCAAAACCGGATCGGCAGAAAATATGCAAATGAAATTGACTCAATCCATTTGCCTCTCATTAGCATATTTTTTGCCAAGAAAACTTGTAGTGTAGACGTAGCCTATGTGGCTTGGGGCTACTCCTGGTGGCACCACCAATGCACTGCTGTCTGGTGCTTCAGCCACAAGTGCTGCAACCTGCCTGGCTCCAGATCAGCCCCATGCCCTCCTGCTGCTCTGTGTCCAATCCCCACAGGCCCTTGGCCCCTGCCTCAACTGCCGTGGACTCATGCTGGAGCTCCTCGCTGACAAAGGGGCAGCCTGGAACAGCGCAAAAGGTGGGCCAGGCCACGTGGGTGTTGCCAAGATGCAGGGTGATCTAGGCTGAGGGTGGGGGTAGGGGTTTGGCGTACAGGAGATCAAAGAAGGGATCCCCAGGTCCAGTTGAGGTTGAGCTGAGTGGCCCTGGGAAAAGGGTTACCAAGAGCAGGGACCATCTTCCAGAGCAGTCATGCCTGGGGTGACAATCAGTTTCGCTGATATCTCCTACAGGGATGTGCTGTGATACCTGTAAGTCCCGGTGCCCCTTGTTTTGATGGCAGTGTGCTAAAAACAGCCCCTTCCCATCTCCTACAACTGTCTCCATCTTATGGCTATAACCCTCTCTCCCCACAAACCACAGCTGCTGCTTTGCTGCAGCCCAGGTGGTGATGAGGTAACACGCCCTGCCCAGGCTGTGCACGTCACTTACACCCCACATGTGAACAGTCAGCAGAACAACCTGCCACAGGATACGGGCCGTCCTTAGGATTTATGGGACCCTACACAGTACTATTTAACTGTTTATATCCTTATGCTTCAGTGTGCAAGTCAACTACTAACTGCTGGGATTTGGAACACTCTTCCCTACGAAGCGGTTCAATGGTTGTCCACTCTGGTATTGCACCTTCCAGGGAAGCATCTCATTCTTGCAGCCCAGGACCTTGTCTCAGACAGTGGCATGAATAATTGGTCTGAACTGGTGTAAATAACAAATCTTAATTGATACAAAATCAATTCATGAGTTTTTAAAACAAACAAAAAAAGATATACATAGCAAAATGTGTTGCAAATTTACTGGTGCACATAGGATACCCCGTGTCGTCACCCCCCGCCCCCTCCACCACACACACTCAAAACAAAAGTGAAACTACAATAAAGTATTTTTGGCAAGCTCTTCTAAACCCTCTTCTGACCTCATGGGGTTTTTTGCATGTAATTATAAAGAAGTGTATCAATTTGTTGTCAGTGCTCTCAGTAGAGAGGCTCTTAAATTGTAGAACATTTTGATTTAAGAGTTTTTCATATGAGCTTTTAAGCAATGTTACAGGGTTTACATAGTTTTATCATCAAGCTAACCAGTAACCCAAAAGGAAAAAAAAAAACCCGCCGTAGGTAATAACAATGTTCAAATACTCCTCTAGCAATTTTTAACCAAAACTAACATCTGGGCAAGGGAGTAGCACATATAAACGCTATGCTTCAAAAATTCCAATAAAAATAGGTATTATTCCTCCTGTTTTGCCTTTCCCTCTCTGGAATCTGCATCAATTTGTGAGAACAAGCTCCCAAATTCTCCCATGCCTTCCTCCTGATTGTTTCCCATGGGGGATATTCATCTAAAAACTCAGTCTCAAATAATCTTTAGTTTTCCTTTGTTTAATGAATGACAATGAAGGGA